GCTTTCTTGGCAGCCAGGGCACACTGCTGGCTCATGGTTAACCTGTCGTCCACTAGGACACCCAGGTCCCTCTCCACAGAGCTGCCCTACAGCAGGTATGTCCCAAGCCTGTACTGGTGCATGAGGTTGTTCCTCCCCAGGTGCAGGACCCTGCATTTGCCTTTGTTGAACCTCATCAGGTTCCTCTCTGCCCAGCTTTCCAGCCTATCCAGGTCACGCTGAATGGCAGCACAGCCTTCTGGTGTATCTACCACACCTCCCAGTTTGGTGTCGTCAGCAAACTTGCTGAGGGTACATTCTAACTCTTCATCCAGGTCGTTGATGAAGAAGTTAAACAAGACTGGGCCCAGTACTGACCCCTGGGGGACACCACTTGTTACCAGCCTCCAACTAGACTCAGCGCCGCTGATGACAACCCTCTGAGTTCTGCCATTCAGCCAGTTCTCTATCCACTTCACCGACCACTCATCCAGCCTACACTTCCTCAGCTTCCCTAGGAAGCTACTACTTCCAGGTAGATGCAAATAATGTACTCTGGAAGGAAAGGTTTTGCAGCCTAATACAGAAACAGGTGATTGACACATTATTCCTGAGTAAGAACCTACATAACACACAAGTCTTCATTTCATTTGTCCACTAACACAGTACACAACAGCAAAAAAACCACAACTGTTTCGCATATGTCCATGAAACTGAACTTTCCTTAGCCTCACCTCCAGGAACACCAAGCCCCAGGTTCTGAAAACTGTGTGACCTAACAATTTCACTTTTAGCAGTCAAAACGAATACTGCAGCTCTTCAAAATCATGTGAAGTGCTGACCCCTGAGGGGCTGGATGAGGATGATCACTGGGTGCTCCCCGATGGAACACACACAACCCCTCCAACAAGGACTTTCAAGCCTACATGGCCTCAGCTGGCAGAGCAGTGAAAGAACAGGTAAGAAAAATGGCTTGCACGTGGGCATCCATGAAGAGGGAGAATCCTCTGAAGATAAGCAGTCACTTCCCTACACAAATGGTCATCAGCCTGTGGTGTGCAAAGCAGGTCTTCAACACGATACTTAGAGAATGGTACGAAACAGATGCTATCATCAGTGGTTGGGATATCTTAAATTGGTTCTGAAGTGTTTTGGGTCATGCCTCTTGTTACCTAGTTAAATGAAGCTTTTTCTTCTCCCATGTATCCAGTTTCCCATTAGCTTGTAATGGAACATATCACATGTTTTTGATCTTTCTGTTTTCTGTATTTCCTGATTGTAGTTTAAATCCCCAACAAGCTTTACAGCTTAACCACTAGTTACATGCTTGTATCAGTGTTGCAGGAAAGTGATGGGACCAAACTAGTCTTTCAGGAAAATACCTTATGCCTTCTGGGATTCTCCGGTACAAGACATTGGAAAGAAAAACTAAAACGTGGTAATCTCTTTGGCATTTGTGGCTCTTTTCATAAGACACAGAAATTGCTGGGTTTGCTTTGTCACTACGTCCGTCATTTCCTGGAGCACAGAGACATCAGGAAGTAGATAAAACCCCCGACAGAGGCTACCCGGCAGATGCCCTTACCACACTGTCACAATTCTCCTTTCCTCCCACCGTGCACCTGTTCTGACCAAACTTGCCCACCTCTTCAGTGGCCTGGCCACACCGGGTGTCCGAGCAGCTGAGGATGCCACGTCCCGCACCCGAAGGAACTCCACTGAAACACAACCACAGAGCTGCCCTGGGCGCTGGGCCACCAGTTGCCCACCCTGCTTAACCATTTAGCGTCCTCTGGCATTTTCTTCTGCTTACTGATAAACACCTTCCCAGACAGCTCCTGGGTACGATTTGTAGAACAGCGCTAGAAAATAGCATGGGCAAAGCATCTGTCTCCCTCTGCCCTATGCAGATACCTGAGGCGGCACCCCCAGGCACTGCCCTCACACACGTCTCGGCAGCCCACGGCACACGGCACAGCCTCTGCGGCTGCAAAGGCACCATGCCAGCATGTTTCAGCACAATCCTCAGACATCTGTTTCAAGCATTTTTGAACTAGAAAGAAAACCAGTGACAGTAAAAATGTCTTAGACCCCGCCATGGGATAGCCAGGACAAGTGCTAAACGTAGTATGGACATTGCAGTCTTCGCCATTTGACCGCAGGGCCAGAGAACAGTCCTTAGCCCTGCTTTGTTTCATAGTACAAGCACAGACTGCGACTCCTGATCTCACATCTTAATTCTACCGAGAGTACCTAAAGGATACTGTGTCATCTAGCCCAGTTTCCTTATCTGCTGCCTGTCTTCCAAGTTGGCTCTATAAATGACCTGCAGAAGTAAGAATTTCCACATAATTTTAATCCCATACTAGCACCTTGATATGCAGGTAACGTCAGGTCTAATACCACATTTTCCATGCAGAAAACTCCCAAAGGGACTGAGCAGCTCCATAACAAATAAAGCAATGACTTCATCTCTTACTGGAATTAAACCAAGCTGACAGTTAAATATTGGTCATCTGCAGCAATACATGGCAATTTTATGGTCATCAAGATTTAGAACAAGAAGTATGAATTGCCTCAGTCATGTGGAATAATAGGAATACTGGGTGGCTAGAATGGAATTTAGCCAGTGGGATAATAACGTTGCCCTTGCAGTCAGTAGCCAGCAATTATTAAGGGACAGTACATCAGTTTTGTGCCTCATTGGAAAGATGTCAAATTCCCCAGCATGACAGAGAATGGGTCCCAGAGATGACATGAAAGGAATGGTGCCACCTCTTGAAATATGAAAAGAAGTATCAGGGACTCACAGCTACACCTTTATGGTCCCAGTCTATGTTACTGTTGGTCCAGCTTAGTTAACACAATGATGGTGGGTGATGATTCATTGAAACGACGAGAAGGATGCAAGTCAAAGGAACCTGAAGGACAGGATTTGTGCTCACGTACCTGCCAAAGTGTGGAAGCTAATGAGACATTTGGAAGTTCAAAAATACATAGAAAAATTACGTTGCTATCCTACGAAACACAACTTGAGTGGTCAGGATTGTTTTTTTTCTCCCCATTTACAGCACTGTGAATCATAGATTTTTTCTGAGTCACACTCTATTTAATGTTTTCCCATTTCTGGAAAAAAGAGGATTACAGTGTCTTCACTGAATCACTGCACCACGTATGGTGTAATGTGTAAGGATCTGCAGATTTTCTCAGAGTAACCACTTCCACTCAAATGACGAGGTCACGCCTTTTTCAGGCTTTCTCTTTGCACAGTAGTTTCTATTTAAAATCCTCTCTACTCTTTCCTCGTTGTTAGAACTATAAGGAAACTTATGTTAAAATACACCAGGCCTACTACGATTTTTGGCAGGACGGAGTTTAACCATGGCATTGGCAGCTTCAGGACACACCTCCTTTCAGTGGCTTCTGTTCTTTTGGAGCATTATTTTTGTATTGTTCCTAACACATTTCTTGATTACATACACTTCAGGCAGTTTACACTTTCCCCAAATACTTCGTCCTGTTAAATACCTGCAGTAGGGTGAAATGTCATTTCGGCGGGTGCTGAAATCATGAGTGGTGAGCAGGCTGACCAACAACCCGCAGCATGAGAACTTTCTCCACGCTTCAGTTTTAAATTTTTGAACTCTCCATTCAAAACAGTATTTTGGAATGAATTATGCCAATGAACACCGTTGGTGTCATTAACACATGGACAGAATTTATGAACACTCGACGGTGAGACCTCAACATCCAACAGGAACAAAAATGACTAAAATTTCCGACCATGCTTGTCTAAGTTGATGCAAACTCCCACTGGAACTATTTGTAATTTCTGTTTATACAAAACATAACTTTCTGGCTGCTTGCAATAGAAAATGTATATGACCTTTTGCCTTCAAAAGAACGACATCTTGTGATCAGTTCTGTAGCTTTGGCATGTATGAGTTCCGGCACCACTTCACCAGGCTTCCAAAGTCCTGTCCTGCCATGCTACGCCCGCACGAAACCTCCCGCTCCCTTTGCTTGCACCAGCGCTGGTGCTCGCGCAGCCGGACAGCGAGGCAGTGCAGGGAGTCAAACGGGCCAGAAACGGGCTCAGCTCCCTAAACTGGGCCACCAGAGCCTGCCAAAGTCCAGCTCTGGGGCAGGAGAGAGAGAGGCAGAGACTTCACAGAGACTCCATCTTCCCTGGGTGGGTCTAGAGCACCCGCCCCGTGCACAGGGTACGGGACAGAGACAGCACAAACACATCACGCCTGCTGAGGCAGCCACCACTGAGCCCGAGACAAAAACCACCACCCCAATTAACAAGAAGTCCAAGAAGTCATTGTCAGATGCCAGAAGTCATGGCAGAGAAAAGTGTCTGAACTAGCACTTTACGAGCACAAGTCTGAGCTGCTTTTTGAACAGCGCAGAAATTTTTATCAGATTAGACCTCCGTTTTAATGCTAGCACTACACACCTTTACCAGCTCTCTCCCATTATACTTGACTATTGAATTTCATTTGATTTACGGAAAACACACAATATGCTGTGACTACACGACAAGCAAGCATCTTACCAGTTCCCCCCCTACTGATTTTCCTGAATGAAAGATCAATATATGAACAAATGCTGATTCTGGAGATGCCACCTTCTGTTAGACCTCATGGCGCACAGGTTTTCTGTTACTCTGGAGAGGTTACTGAGCAGTCAGACAACTGACCGCGTCTCCTCTGGAGACCTGGGGTCGGGGTTCTGCTCTGCTGAGTCTTTCTGTGCAGCTTCACACCACCTGGGATGGGTCCACACCACCCGACAGTCGCACTCCCTCTTCCCAAACCAACCTGGGTCCCGAAGCTACGCGGCTACCTCAGCACAGCGCGGAGCCTGCTGAATGCACCGAAATTAGCAGGGCCATGCGGCGGAGGCTAATGACTTTCTGGCGGCAGGCTGGCGTGCGGCCGGCCGGCTGGGAAGCGGCGTTGGGCTGGCTGAGGGCTAGAGCTGCACCTGTAAAGCAAGGGCAGCGTCCCGGACGGAGGACAGGTCGTGAAGACCACAAAGGGTAGAAACACCACAGAAAGAGGGTGTGTAGATACCCACCAGGCTGCTGGGACCCGCTTGGTAGAACTGGGCCACCTTCCCCTGGGTGCCACTGCTCCCCTGGGAGCCAGGCCTTGCCCCGCAGCCTGGCAGAGGACCCTCTCGCTCACTCCCCTATGCTCGTTTTGAAGGTCCTTCATGGTGGATCCGTGCTCGTTCCTGCCCCTAGAAATGAGGACAAAACCTCACCCTGAGGATTTCTCCAATTATTTCATCCATATTCGTTTGGCAAGACACGAAGAATCAGCTCAGAGACACGGACGGTGCTGAACGACTCTCCCTATTGCCTCTGTAATCCGTCACCCCGGCTGTAGCCGACGTGTGTTTGCGATGAGCGTGGGTGAAAAGTCAGCAACACCGCATTTTAGAGGGAAAGCAACTCCAGACTGGCAAACCCCAGGCACTGGACTTACAACTGATCCAGAGACCCCGCAAATGCCGAGTGCGGGAGAAACCTCTTCCCCCTCCCGCGCCTGCTGCTGCCCTCACACCCCCCCATCCCA